TGTATGTATATATATATATATATATATATATATATATATATATATATATATATATATATATATATATATATATATATATATTATATATATGTGTGTATATATATAATATATATAATATAATATACCGAATTAAATATAAGGATTTTACTATGTTTAAAAAGAGTTAACTATGTGCTCACATCTAAAATCTGGCTTCATTCCACATCAATACAAGGTCTTAGCTCTTTTGGCTAAGAGTAACAGTTTTTGGCCTATGGTGACTAATGTTTGCATTCGATCGATTTAAATTCATTATGTAGGTCTTATGTCTGGCTCTGATGTGCTAGCCCATAGCTGCAAGAAGTGAGTGTGGTTAGCTTTCTCTTTACCCGATTTGAAAATGAACAAAAATGATACCATACCAGACAACCGAATAGAAATTATTATAAACTACATCATCACACTTGTAGATATAAATAGTCTTTATTATCAGCAAATCATAAATTTGTTCTTTGCTGCTTATGATCTACACGCAGAGTGCCTGGAGCATTAGTTTTTTTTCTCCTTAGCATTTATATTTTGTTCTTCTACTTTACAAGAGTCTTACTACTTATTTTATATTTTCTTATGGTTTTTTTATTTTTTATTCAACAACACTATCTACAATCTATTTTAATAATCACATCTCTCAGGTCTTGGTAACTGGACGGTTCTGTTGATCACATATATGCAATCATGGAGTCGCATAAAAATTAGAAGATTCATTAGAAGATCTGTCCCAGATATGGCAACAGTATTCCATACAAGGCCGGATTTGAGATTTATAGAGATAGAGAATAGAATCCAAAATAAGAAAGCGTCGAGCTCAATAAAGAGATGCAACAGCAGAAAAGTTTAGCTTACTAATGCACCACACCATTACACCTGTGGATATTAACAGTATCTAATAACTGTAAATCACAAATTTGTTTTTTATTGTATACTTTTGATCACAATCTTTGTTAGACCTCATTTTTGTATATTCTTTTAGTTTTGTGATATTATGTGTGTATGAGACCATATATGGGCAGCAACCTTCAGAATTAGGGTTGCAGTCTTTGGACCCTAACAGTTAGGAACTATTAAACAGGGGCTAGTCTAGTAAACAGGGGCTATTCTAGATCATTTTCAACAGTGTCAACCATATTTTGGCGTCAATTTGGGTGAGGTCTGCAAAAAATTCCCGACTTGTTTTTATGTTATGTGATAATCCCTTCGTGTCAAATTTCTTTTGCTGACCCCTAACAGTTTGAGGTCAGCAATTTATTGCCGACCTCATTTTTCCTAATTCCGAGGGTTCAGAATGGTAATGTTTTTTTAAAAAATATATATATGTTTTTTGCTTTACTGGGTTAATATTTGTTTCCTGATATTTAGTTTGGTGAGTTTTTATGAGTTTACTCTTTTTAAATATATTTTTTAGGAATTGATGCCACTACCTCAACGCTTACTATTGAAGGTGAAAAAATTCGACTTCAGATATGGTCAGTAATGTTTAATAGAAACATATGGTTTACAAACTTGATGAATTTGCAAACAAACATATTATTAACTTTTTCAAACTAACTTATTAACTTTTTAAGTAATTAAAAATTTACTATATATTTACTAATTAAAGAGATTTGCCAGGGAAGATCGCACTCTATTCCTGACCATGCATATAATATTTAGTTGCGACAGCTTGGCCATGCCTTTATAGATTTTTATAACATTCAAATTTATGTATGTTTCAATGTATGTCCAAAAAATTAAGTTTTAACATGCTAAAAACATTAACTTTGTAACAATAATCTTTTATAATAAAATATTTTTATATTTTAAACAAAGCAACAATTTACTTTTATTGATTGTTTATAAAAATTAATTTTTTTGTTTTTAATTATATAATATTAAGTTAGATTTAAGATATAAGGTTTTCAAGACAACTGCCTTTTTAATGAAATTTAAAAAATAATTATCATTACAGTTAATAAAACTGATAATTAAATAAACATACAGGAGCTTATAGGTGGCTAAACACAATTATACATTTATACATAGTGAATTACAAGTGGATAAATGCCACGCCAGATGTTCAAACAAAACACAAACATTCATTTATATAAATTGACTTAGGGGGTGAACCAGCACCATGCCAGAGGTCCAAACAGGATATTAACATACAAATATATTTAAAAATCCCACTCACTAAACATCATAAGTGGTATTGTGTAGTAGTTCCGCCTTCTCTTCATAAATTCATTTTTCTTGAGAATTAATTCAATTTCAAACTTTTCAAACTGCGCAAAGCATGAAATGGTAATAAAAAAAATTTACTTTTTTATTTATTAAATAGTTTAAGTTGTTTTGGTTTTTTTAGAATCTTTTTGAAATAAAACATAAATGCATAATTAGAAATAATAATATACTCTGATAAATTTAAAAATGTTTGTTATTATTTGTTTTAATTAAGTTTTTTTTTTTTTTCATTAAGAATTTATTTCTTTTTTCAGTTAATTTTTTCTAGTATTTGTTTTCCGTCAGACAATTAAGTTTTTTTTTGCGCATTTTTGAAATGTTATCAAAACAGTAAAAAAGCTGAGGCCAATTTGTCGCAACTAAATAAAATATTGTATACATGGTCAGATATAGAGTGCAATCACACTTGCTTCCCGACCAAGCCTGTTTAAATAAAAATAAAATTTTTTTCTTGTACTGGGTTGTCACAAAAAGTAGTGAAAAATTATATAAGGATAGTCCTCTACATGTAAAGTAGTAAAAAGATATTTTGCTTAATAAAAATGCAATTAAAATAGTCACTCTATAAAAGTTATCAGTAGTATTCTGAGTTCTTTTACATGGAGCACTTATATGTTTAAGGTGATTGCTACAGTTTACGTTACTTTTATTATTATTTTTTTAATCTTGTATCATAAGTGTTATAAGCAATGGTGTAACGAATGTCTTGAGCTCTTTGTCAAAAAAAGTTATGAGGCCCTAAACTTTTTCTTACTAAGTTTCGTTCTTTAAACAGTAACTTCTAAGTTTATGAAATTTGGTCAAAAAACATACTCTCATAAATTATATTTTAAGGCTGTTTTACTAAGAACTCAGTTTTAAGTCATTTAACCACTATCAAGTAAGATTACCATTTCTGAAGGAACATTTCATTCAGCAAATTTATTAATGCATGATTTTTTATTGGCAAAATGACTTTTATTGACTTTTTCTTAGTCCTTTAAACAAATTCCATTTTTCACTCAAGTCCTCATGAATTGTACTCAAGTCCTCATGAAATTCTATTGGAGTATTGGAGTGTAAAAGTTTAGGATAAAAAATATTTACCTTAGAAGAAAGTTCCCCATATTGAATCCTCTATTCTTGTTGTATATTGTCATTATATAATTTGGCATTATATTCGCCAACATCTCTTACAGATGTTGACAAACTTAAAGACCAATGGCGTTGTCCCTCTTTGTATTGTTTTGACTTTCTTGAAATATTCTTGAATGCATGTCAGCATACTTATTTTTTATAACAGGGACTGCAAGCCTATCCAACTTTAATGCCATTACTTGATTTGATGAGAAAGCTATGATCAATGTTTCAAGCTGAATTCAAAACAGTTATCAACCTGACTTATTGTTCCAAAGAATGTGTAAAAATTGTTACATTAGCTTCTACCACACTATTTATAACAAAGTTTAGGTTATGAGAAAAGCAATATATGTTTGACATAGGTGCAGTAGTTATCAAATCTCAAAATAGTTTTTGAAACCAACCTTTCTTTTTGCTCGTTACACTGGGGCTATCATAGCCTTGGCCTCGCAAGTTCTTAAAATTTAAGTTTTGCATAGTCATCTAATCACTTATATGTTTTGTTAATCCTATAGCAGTTTTATTTGTGATACCAAGAAATTCAAGCAAAGATTGATATCAATTAATTATGATTGGGATCTGAATTTTTATGATCAAATGACTTCTTTACATGTCGTAAATGTTTTCATTTCTAAATGAAATTTCAAAAATTCAATTGTTCTCTTATTACATTTTCATGATCCTTGTCAAAATTGTTTCCAAATTTCCATCTGGTTTTTACTTGCATTAAAAGTAAAAAAAAATTTAAATAATGGGTAGCTAAAGGTAAAAGAGCAAATAATGTTTAATTAAAGGTAAAAAAGCTATTGTAGGTTTTTATTATTATTATTATTTTTTTTTTCTGTTGTAATTACTTTTTAATACTGGTCATTAAGACTTCATAAGTTTAACTGAGCAGTATTAGGAATTCATTAAAAATTAAATATTTGTTAGTAATCAAATTTCTCCAAACAAATTCATATAAATAACTTATAAAATGTTTTACACTAAAAAATAACAGAGTTTTCGGAGCACTTAGGAACAGTAACAGAAAAAGGATGAGACTTAATTGCATGACAAGTAACACGAGAATGAATTTTAGTAGATGGCGCAAGAGACGCTAGCTCTTTAGAGCAGTGCCCATTATAGTATTTGTAGAAAAGAGAAAGAGAAGCAACATTACGACGATGTGACAGAGGTTGAAAGTTGGCTGCAAGAGCAGGTCCAACTATGTTTACAATGCGTTTTTGCACCTTGTCTAAAAGAGAAAGGGCATCATTAGAAGATCCACCCCAGATATGGCAACAGTACTCCATACAAGGCCAGATTTGAGATTTATAGAGATAGAGAATAGAATCCAGAGTAAGAAAGTGACGAGCACGATAAAGAGAAGCGACTTTAGCATATGCTAATTTTGCAACGGATTTGATATAAAGTTTCCTAGAAAGATCAGAAGTAAGAGTTAATCCTAGAAGATGAAGGGTAGGAGATTCATCGAATACATTACCGTTCATAAATATAGGAATATATAATGTATATATATAAATATATATATATATATATATATATACATACATACATACATACAAATATAAATATATATATTCATATAGTTTGACATCTAAACTTACCATTTGTGGTAAAAAATAACTCCTAACGACTCTTTTTGTATGTATATATACATATATATATATATATATATATATATATATATATATATATATATATATATATATATATATATATATATATATATATATATATATAAATTGTGGGCAGCCAAAATATTTTTATTTTCTCAAAAGAATGTTTATAGTAGGTTCATAGTCACATTGTTTTGACATCTACTCATTTATTCTCTAAAATAAAAATTTAAGTTTTTGAAATTTTGATTTCATAATGAGCTGAAGTAATTTTTTTTCAGGGATACTGCAGGGCAAGAGAGATTTCGAACATTGACAAATGCGTATTATCGAGGAGCTATGGTAAAAAGTTTTACTTTTATTTATTTAAAAACTTTATTTGTTTACATAATTTGTTTATTTTTTGTTTTGTTTTTTGATTAAGGGGATTATGTTGGTTTATGATGTCACTTGTGATACAAGCTTCAACAACATCAGTAATTGGGTACAGTGTATTGAAGAGGTAAAAAATGCAGCATATTATTCTATATTTTTTCTACTTAAAAAAAATTTTGTAATTTCTTTTATTTTTTTTTATATGTAATTTATTATCATAGATTTTACATGCATACACCCATACATACATTCATATATTCATACATATATATATATATATATATATATATATATATATATATATATATATATATATATATATATATATATATATATATATATATATATATATAGATACATACATACATACATACATACATACATACATACATACATACATACATACATACATACATACATACATACATACATACATACATACATACATACATACATACATACATACATACATCAGAGCTGGGCATTGCTACCAAATATTTTAAAGCACTCCACTACCTTAAAACATTTCCGCTACCTAGTAACTAGAAATCCCTACCATTTTTTTGCTACTTTATCAAACTTTAAAAATAGTAACACTTGTCCGCTTCTAGTCTGCTACCAAAATAATTTTTATTAAAAAAAAAAAAAAAGTCAAAGAAAAAAACTTACTCTCCTCTCCCACATTAAGTTTTTGATATTCATAAGCGATGATATAAAGTGATATTATTGTTCTACACTTTTTTTAGTGTTTTGCACTAACATTAAATTTGCTTAGTGTTGCTAATTTGCCTAATTATGCATCTTTTAGTGCCTAATTATGCATCTTTTTACTTTAACCATTAAATATGAATGTGAAAAAGAATAGAAACACTAATTTGGCACTATCAAGGTATTCTTACTAGCCAGAATATACTTCTAATGCAGGTCAAACATGAAGTCTTTTAAGAACTTTCCAGTTTAGGCTTCATTCACATTATTTTACATAAAAAAATTTCCAATGTTAAGAACATTGAACATATTGCATTGTTTATAATTTGTCACTATAAGAAAATTGCAGGTGTTCTGCAATTGTATTTTTGCAATTTATAATTGTATCTGCAATTTTGTATTTTTAAAATTGTATTTTTAAAATTTTCACCTCAACTTCAAATAAAGATTACTTCAATAAGATGATTAAAGGATATGTATGCATATTATAAATAATACATTAGGCTAGTTGCAGACATTTTATGTAAAGTACTAATGCTGCTTCTTCAAAGTTTTTCAATCAAATGCACACATCTGAGATTATTTTGATATCTCTGAAAAAATTTATAATTTGAAAGGTTCATTTTTTTATTAGTTTATTTTCGGTAAATAAAAAAAACTTAAAAAATTTCATATTCGAAGTTAAATGGTAGGGGAGTAGAGCTTTGATTTTTTTTTTTTTTTTGTAGCAACCTCAGTCTACTATCAAATTTTTAGTGAAAGCCCTTTTGCAACTCCGCTACCAATCAGAAAGTCCGCCTATAGCAGAGTTGCAGAGTAGCGGGTCGAGTTGTGCTACAGCCCAGCTCTAACGTACATACATTTTTGCAGGCTAACTAAAAAATGACATACATGCAGGGATTATCTTTTTCTAGATGATACCGGAATTCCAGATATTTTTCTAAACTTTTAGTTTTTCCGGATTTCCAAAATGCTTTCCGTGCATACAAGTGTAGGTGTATATTTTTGTAATATATTTGTTTTTTAGGCTTTTTCAATCATCCTCATACAAAAATTTAAAAAGTTTGGAAAAAAATTTGAAACAATTCAGCTAAAAGCAAAATTAAGTGGAAATTAACGAAAATGTGTATTGGATTTTTTTCAGATATTTTATCCAAACAATTTTTCAGATTTTTAAAATATGAACTGGATGATCTATGCATACATGTCATTTTTTAGTTAGCCTGCGCGATTTGAAAAATTTATTTTTTTCTGATATTTAAATTAAAATAAAAATAGTGAAAAAAATGCTTTGAATAAATACTAGATAAAATAATTTAAAAAAAAAACTGGTAAAAAAAGTCATTTTTCATAAAAGTTGCACAAATGAACAAAAAAGTTTTGTTGCAATTTAAAACAATGCGCTTTTAGTTTTTTGGCAAGCGCCTTTTTACACACTCGTCAAAGTTTTTTCAAGCGTGTCGACAAGCGCAAAATGACTTTAGCGCAAAAGCACTGGCTAATTGGAGAAGACTGCATACATATATTGTAGCCAAACAAATTAAATGAAAATTTTCAATATATTGGAGCTAAATGTATAAAATACATATTGAAATGTATTTAATACATATAAAACTTATTTAATATGTATTAAAACGTATTTAATACATATTAAAACGTGTTTAATCTGTATTAAAACATGTTTAATACAAATTAAAACGTGTTTAATACGTATTAAAACGTGTTTAATACGTATTAAAACGTGTTTAATATGTATTAAAACGTGTTTAATACGTATTAAAACGTGTTTAATACGTATTAAAACGTGTTTAATAAGTATTAAAATGTGTTTAATTTGTATTAAAATGTATTTAACACATATAAGATTGTTTAGAGAATAAGTTTTAAGATGAGATATTAGAAGTTTGTTAGTTAAAGATAATATAGAGTATAAATATAAAAAGTATTATATTATAGTATTCTTTAAACTTTTAAGAATGCATCAGATAATGTTATTTGTATGTTGATTGGAAACAAAGCAGATGCAGATGAAAACCTTCGTTGCGTTACTAAAAAGCAAGGGGAGGAGGTAGTTGTTTTAAACAACAATTTATAATAAGTTTGTTATTTTTTCACTTTCTTTAAATTATTATTAAATTTGATATATATTTTTTTAATTTTAATTATTAGACAGCAGCACAAAGAAATATGGATTTTTTTGAAGTCAGTGCAAAAACTGGACATAACATTAAAGAGGTTTTTTTAATATATTAATTATTTTTATTTAAGTATTGAAACTTTTTTTTAAATAATTATGCATGTGTATACAAAAATTCTAGATTTTTATAACTTAATGTTAGGGTTTTTCGTATTAAAATTTAGCGTAAATAAATTTTTAAATTGTTTTCTGTTATTTATGTTTGTATTGGTAAAATTGTTGAAAAGTAAAATCTGCAAAACTAGTTAAATGTTAAATAACCTAAAATTTGTAAAATATTTCAAATTTAAATTAAAGTACAAATGTCATCAAATTATCAGATGTCATCAAATTATCAAATGTCATCAAATTATCAGACTTCAAAAAAAAAATCAAAAAAGCACAGTAACATTAAAATAATTTTTTTTTGTTGAAGTAAATAACGTCCCATGTGTGCATTTTTTGTTATTAAAATAGTAAAACATCTAAATATTGCACCCATAAAAATAAGCCTGGGAGCCTCAATTAGCATTTTTAACCAGTGGCGTGCTGGCTTTAAAAAATCCAAGCAGGACTTTTCTAAAAAGGCCTATTTAAGCAGGATTTTACTATATATGCTTGATTTCCAAGCCCATAAATGTATAAATATTATGTTTTATAAAACATGTAACTTAGTAAACTAAGTTACATGTTGTACGGTACTTAGTAACTAACCTAAGTTACATGTCACAAGTTATTTAATAAAGTAAGTTACAACTTGTACGTTTTATAGTATCTATTAGGCTGGTGCAGATTCATTTATAATACATTGTTTCCAGTGTAGGATATTAAATGCTGGATCTTCTTGACTCAATGCATGGGTTTTGCTTGTGTCTCTGTTTTTATGACTAGGCAACTCATTCCATTATTTCCAAATGAGACTACAGTTCTAAAACTCAGTTTTATGGTTCTAAAGAGAGCTAGTTGTCAGGTTTCCTGATCTCTGTGGTAGCTCTCAGAGAGGCTGATTCCATCAACAACTGTAAAGTATTATAGTACTAACAGTGCCATGTTGCGCATAGATGGTGTCCCTGTTCATAATTTTGGTGTGCATTCGAGGCCACATTCGGTACCCTTTATTACAGCTTAGAGTTTATTAATGGTAATGAGGCATTTGCTTGGACTATTAAATAGTGTACTGAGTTTTATCTGTGCTTTGAGTTAAGTTCTTTAACAAATTTAAAATGACTACACACAAAAAACCATAGTCATCACTAAGTTCTCTAAACTTATCATTCACTAATATTCGTGGTCTTCGAAGTAACTTTTCTTCTGTTGAGTCTTATCTCTTGCAAAGTTCATCAGATATGCTCTTTGTGAGACTAATTAAGAAAAATAAGAGTTCGGCTGTCTCATCTTGTGATCTAAGTGTTAATAGTTATCTTTTTTTAGTTCGTAAAAAAAGACTCCAACAGTCATGTGCTTGGCCTGGGCATTTACATTGGTAAGAATTCACCTATTTGTCAGGAAACTAGATTTGAATCCACCGACTATTCTTTTATTTGCTTTCCTTTAGCACCACTTCACTCAATTGCCTATCTCTTTGTTTCATATCTCTCTCCTTTATCTTAAACTGCACTTATTTTGATGTTATTTTTGATCAAATTGACTAAGCCCTCTTTCTGTTGGTGACTTGTTCACATCACACTGAATAGGTTCGCTTTAGTGTCAGTGACTCTGCAGGCTTTGAGACCCACAAATTTTGCCTTTCTCAATCTCTAACTCAAATAGTCCACTTTCCAGTTTGCTTTCAAGGCAGTTCTCATCATTAACATTCTCCAGTCGACTTATGTCTTGTTTTTGATCCAAGTCAGTGCTCAGTTTCTCTACATTCACCCTTACGGGCTACTGATCATGGTTTGATCTCTATCATCGTACCTCTTACAACTTCCTTAAAGCTGACTGGGACTCTTTCCATGATTTTCTTCATTATTGTCCTTATGTAGAAATCTTTTGTATTTCTGCTGACAAATGTGCTTTTTACATATCTTTTTGGATTTAGGCTGGCATGAAATCTTTTATTCCCTCTCTATGATTCTAAGTCAAGCCTTTTCTCCATGGTTTTTTTCACATTGTGCTGCTGCAATTTCCAATCAAAACCATTACTTCCATATCTACCAGCAAAACAATTCTCCAAAAAACAGGCATCTGTTTACTATTGCTAGAAACCATTTGTAAAAAGGTTTTGTCTGACATCAAAGCAGGCTATTCTCAGGGCACAAAGTCTTGTATTTTATCTCTAAAATTAGGCTCTTGTGACTTCTGGAGAATCTTTAACAGTATCAATAATAAGAGCAAATCTGTTATTCCACCTCTCTTGTATGGTTCAGATTTTGTCACCTCACCTAAAGACAAAGCTGATTTATTTGCTAAGAACATTTCATCAATATTGTCACTTGATTGCACTAGTTCTGTTCTACCTGATTTAGCCGACAAACACGTTGATCAATTGCTTAACATTCGAATCACTCCAGCTTCTGTATCTAAAATGATTTTCTGCTTAGACTCTTCTACAGCCTGTGTTCTAGACAACATACCTGTTATAGTTTTGCAGAAGTGTTCTCCAGAGTTGTCCTCTATACTATCATAACTATTTAACAAGTCCTTATCAGAGTCTTGTTTTTCCAGCATGCTTATCGCTATTTTCAAAAATTCTGGAGAGCAATCTGACTTGTTTAACACCATTCGATTAGTCTTCTTCCTATCATAAGCAAGGTTTTTGAATCTTTAATTAAAAAACACAAAATCTCTCATCTTGACTCTAATAACTTTCTGATCGTCAATATGGATTTCGATCCTCACCTGATTTGCTAGCAGTAGTAACCGATAGGTTTTATTATGCATTAGATAGAGGTGGAGAGGTCAAGGCTATTGTTCTTGACATTTCTAAAACTTTTGATTAAGTTTGCCATGTTGGTCTTCATAAGCCTTCTTCTTACAGTGTATCAGGTAACATCTTTAAGATTATTCAATTCTTCCTTTCAATCGTAGTATAAAAGTTGTCCTTGAAGGACAGCACTTTTCTTCATATAACTTGTAACTTCAGGGGTTCCTCAAAGTTCAATCTTTGGCTCTATACTCTTTTTAATTTACATTAACGATCTTCCAGATATTCTCACATCTAAGGTGGCATTGTTCAAAAAGATGAGACAATTAAATTACGAGTAACAAGAGAATGAATTTTAGTAGATCGCAGTGGATTAAGTAGATGACACAAGAGACGCTATAGCGTCTCTTGTGAAAATTATTTAACAAGGAAGTTCAAACCTCCTTGCTTACCGATGGTGCCAAATATGCCCAGAGCTTGCTTTGAATCCTAGGTCTCTTGCTTCTAAAGCAACCACTCTAACCACTCCGCTGCTATATAATCATTTTTTATAAACTAAAATTATTATTTTTTAGCTTGTAAGTAACCATAATTCAAAACATGACAAAAAATATGTAAAGCAAAGTAATTGTTAATTCATAAAAAAAAACTAAAAAAAACATGCAAATAGAATACAAAAACAGTTTGTGTCCAAATAAAAGATCTAAAAATTCAGTAATAATGAGAACTTAATTTATGGAATCTTTACAACTCCTAATGCTTTTGAACGAACATGAACAAAGGAACAATAACACCGTTCATTTAAAAATTTAGAATGCCAATTTTATAAAGGAAAAAGATCATTAAGAATATTAGGTTAAATACTCATCCGTTTTTTACAATTAGGATTTTATGAAAGCGATAAATAAAAATTAATAATTAATAAATAGACTTTGTGACTAAAATAAACTTTTCGAGTATTGACTTTTCGAGTTATTTCTAACATGTTTTTTCTTTTTTTTTTTACTGAACTTATGTTCCTAAGGCTGAGCAGGCCACTTTAGCCGAGAAGCTACTTCTTACTTTGTTTACAACCCTCTCTCAACTCTTTAACTCCGAAACACTTTTCAACCTTGACAAACAAGGCCGATGGGCGCTGAAACTGATTGATATACATAAAACATGTAGTATATTTTAAATCTCTTCTTCTTTATAAACTGAAAAAAAGTTAATTGCTTTCGAATGTAACTGAAAGTTAAATGAAATTTTGAAATTGTTACCAAATTTAACTGTAAGCCGAATTTCTATTTCAACTTCCGCACTAAAGTCGAAGCCGAAGTCAACTTCACCTTTCAGAAAACTTTGTAACCCAAATTTTAACAAATATTTGCCGGTCCGTAAACAGAAGTGAATTCCTATTCAAGCTCAGATGCCCCCTCCAAGCAATCAGAAAGTGTTGGCTTCTTATCAAGCCAAGAATAAATGGTAGTATCATCCCCTGAAGTTACAGGATATGAAGAAAAGTGCTGTCCTTCAAGGACAACTTTTATACTACGATTGAAAGGAAGAATTGAATAATCTTAAAGATGTTACCTGATACACTGTAAGAAGAAGGCTTATGAAGACCAACATGCCAAACTTAATCAAAAGCTTTAGAAATGTCAAGAACAATAGCCTTGACCTCTCCACCTCTATCTAATGCATAATAAAACCTATCGGTTACTACTGCTAGCAAATCAGGTGAAGATGCCAAACTTGTGAACATGCCAAACTTAATCAAAAGCTTTAGAAATGTCAAGAACAATAGCCTTGACCTCTCCACCTCTATCTAATGCATAATAAAACCTATCGGTTACTACTGCTAGCAAATCAGGTGAAGATCGAAATCCATATTGACGATCAGAAATTTATTAGATTCAAGATGAAATATTAAGTGTTTGTTAATTAAAGATTCAAAAACCTTGCTTATGATAGGAAGAAGACTAATGGGACGATAGTTAGATGAGTCAGATTGCTCTCCAGAATTTTTGAAAATAGGGATAAGAGATGCCGCTTTCCAGCATGCTAGAAAACAAGACTCTGATAAGGATTTGTTAAATAGTTATGATAGTATAGATGACAGCTCTGGAGAAAACTTCTGCAGAAGCGTCTAAGCAGGAAATCACTTTAGATAGTTTAGCTGGTGTGTTTAGATACAGAAGCTGGAGTGGTACGAATGTCAAGCAATTGATCAATTTGGCTATATCAAGTAGAACCCAACTAGTGGAATCAAGAGATGACATTGATGAAAAGTTCTTAGCAAACAATTTAGCTTTGTCTTTAGGTGAGGTGACTAAGTCTGAACTATGCAAGAGAGGTGGAATAACAGATTTGCCTTTATTATTTAAACTGTTTAAGATTAAACTGTAGTTTGAACACATTTTATATTTTTTCAGTGACATCAAATTTGGAACTAGTTTTAATTCCACGCAGTAGGGGCATAAGCTATTTAAATAAAACAACCTCGCAATGTTGTGTTAATAAGACATGACTAAGATATAGCTGTGTCTTAATCACGACTTATTAACACAACAAAAAGCGAAATTTAGTTTCTTTTTCAAAGATTGATTTAATAATAATAAAATAATAATAAAACTTTTTAGAAAAATTTTTATCATTTTTTTTTTTTTTTGAAAATTTTTTGATATACCACTTAAATAATCCAGCAATTTTTTCAATACATAAAAATCAGCAATTAAGATTATTCTAAAACTGTATTAGGATTATGAATTCCCATCTGACCCTTGCAATCGCTTAACTCAACCCTTGACACATTCTTTAATTTATGTGATGTAATAAAAAACATTTTTTGCAATTATTTTTGAGGTCGATTTTAGATGTTTGCATTTTGCTATGCAAAATACTAATATATTAGCACTCAAAGTTTAATACTTCATATCAGATAAATGAAGAATTTAGTTAGTGAAAGCGTAAATAAAGTGAATCAAAAATTATTTATTGATTATTCCAATAAGTAAAATAATAATAACAAATAAATAGTAAAATAATTTTTGTTTTTTCCCAAAAGGCCTTTATAAGATAAAAAACTTGAGACCTATGCAGGATTTAACATGCAGTTAAGTTTAAATCTTTTAATGTTTACAATCTTCTAAAATTGTGAGTGATTTAGAATGTTATGTCAAATTTTCAGGACCAGAAAGGAGGAATCTTGTTGTAAGATTTGCTATTGAAAAATATTGCAACTGCTATTTTACAAGCAAGATTACAAAGTTGACTCATTAAGCATATGGAGATGTTTTTTTTACAAAAACTTTAGTATGTGTAATTAATCAGAATAAGGGCCAGATCATTCAGTTTGCTGACAAAAGGGCAGAAGAGTCATGTTTGATTTCATAGATAAAGCAGCAGTATGGCAGAACTAATAAATACATCTTCCAGTATAACAGGGCTCAAGCACACACATCACAGAAAACGCTAATTTAACACAGAAAAGATTTTTTGCCTTGATGCTCTAGATTACCAGATCTAAACCCTATCAAAAATATTTTGAGGGATCGATGCTCGAAAAAAGTTGCCATATAAAATGTGCATAAAACTAAATCAATGCAGAAATTAGTCCTACTTTACTACAAAGTAAATTAGGACACTTCAAATGTTAGAATTGTCATTTTTTCAACTTTATTTTCCAAACCTACATAAGATTAAACTTTTTTTTTTTTTTTTTTTTTTTTAAAAAAAAGTTTAATCTTATGTAGGTTTTTTAATGTTTTTTGATTATGTAATTGTTTAATTAACTTTTTAAATTTATTTATATTTTAATTTTTAAATTTTAATTTTTCTAACTGTTTTTTTCTTTTAGTAAAATGGTCAAATTTTTTTTTTTTTTTTTTTTATAAATAAAAATAAAATAATTTATTTTCCAGATTTTTTTTTTTTCTTTTGAATTTAAATTTCCAGATTTTTTTTTTTTAATTAAATTGAAAAAGAAACAAAATATTAATTGAAATTAATCTCAGGTTAACTTTACAGTGACAGATCCATTGATGATGAGGGGTCATTGAACTCATCAGTGGGGGATGCTCCTGAATTTATAAAAACTTTTAATGATTCAAAGTTGAATACAATTTAATGAGCAACCAGTAACAAGACATACAAGGAGCCTAAAAACTTGAAAATTTCTACTTTGCCGTAACTTCACATTGTTATATCTAAGCATTTGTACATGTTTTTTTTCTTTCACACCTCCTTATTAAAAGGAGATGCGGAAGAAAAAAACTCACGTTTTTCTGCATTCCTTAATTAAAAGGGACACTATTTCATAGTGTCCCTTTTAATTTCTTTGTGAAATTTACTAAATTCTATTTTATCTAAAATTGCTGCTGTAATTGTAACATTTATAACATCAGTGATATTTTTCCACTGCTGCAAATTTAATTTTTTTATAATAATATGATTTTGTCAAATTTAATTTTACTAATGTACTTTAGCTCACTTATTGACGGAACTAGTAACCTAGTAACTAGTAACTTACAAGGAGTTTATTTTGAAAATTCGGCTTATTGTCTTTTAATGTAATAAGCACTTCGCTTGTGCAACTGATTCAATTCTAGCAATTAACTTAATTATTTTTGCAAGGTTTTGGTCTTCTAACTTTTCTAGATTTTTCAGGAAATTTTGCATGATATAATAAATATTATCACACAATGTTTATGATGATTACTTGAATCAAGAAAGCTTTCTAAGCAAAAAATCTGAATTACTATCTAAATGCAGGCATGAAAATAAATACTTTTTAAAAAATTATAAAAACAAATGACCACTAAAATTATCCTAATTCTAAAGAATTCTTTTTCACAACTAAATGTGAAATGTTGAATTGAATTGAAAAATATGGGAGAATGGAAGGGAGTATTTGAAACATTTGGGAAAGTGCAGGAGAAATTATAAATGTTCTTAAAATTTCGCACAGCTGTGCGAGTAGCCGTGATGGTAATTCTGACTCAGACTTTGCAGCAGATCTAGACAAAGAAGAATCTAGTTTATCAGTTCTCCTTTCAAGTGATATGTTAAAGAAAACAGCATTTACTGATATAGGAGAGAGACTGCTAGGCATATGCTAGGCAGCACACTGTAATTGTGTCCAGTGTCATTGCAAACTTTGGAGGTTCTGTGTCAGATTTTGTAGTGTCTAGTGCAACATCATTTGAAGCTATAGAAGAGGTTTTGACTGAAAATAGAGGAAAGATTAGAGATCAAATTTTGCTACACTATTAAATCTACACTATGATGTGATGTCACTGTGATATCACTGTGATGTGATGTCACTGTGATGTGATATCACTGTGATGTGATATCACTGTGATGTGATATCACTGTGATGTGATATCACTGTGATGTGATATCACTGTGATGTGATATCACTGTGATGTGATATCACTGTGATGTGATGGCAAGAATTCACAGGTGGGAATTGCAAAATCACAGACTTGCTTAATCAGGATAAATAGACAGATAGAGGCACTCATTATCTTCCTTCTCACTTCAAGTACAGGAGAGAAGCAGAAAAAAGCAATCATGGAACCTCTTGACTAATTCAAGATTTCTGACAAGTTTCATGGGTGTGTTTTTGATACTGCTAATTCTAACACTTGTAAACAGATTGCATTAAACAGGTTGACAGGCCTCTACTCCTGTTAGCATGCAGACATCATGCAGAAAAAATATTTTGGTTCACGAATATTTCTTTTATAAATTTTCATGTAATTAGTTGTAATAATTTAGAGTGAACGCCTAAAATGTGTTGAATTATGACATCTGTATAAAAAGTTTATAAATTAAATTATTTTTTAATTTGATCTTCAGCAGTTCAGTGGTATAAAACATTTTCCCGTGTATTATCATTTATAATGAAAAATAATTAGTTTAGTTTTTAATTTTAAGACATGTTTGGGTCCTGTAAAAAGGGTGGTTTTATATAAAAGCCATATAATTTAGAGAACTTATGTAAATAGAGCATTTATTTAAAAAAAAAAAACATAGTTTTAAATGTTGCAACTTATTTGGCTTTAAATAGTTAGCAAAATTTTTTAGATTTTTTTTGTTTTTAAGTTAAAGAAAAAAAACTTTTTAGCTTGGAAACTTTAACTTAATGCAGACAAAAATCTGCTGGAAAGTTTTGTTTACGTCATATTATATTTTGAAGTATTGTTTTGTGAAAGTTTTGTTTATTATTTTTGTCTTATTTTTAATGACACATTTCTTGTAATTTCACAAAGAGTGGCGTCTTTAAAACGGTTTGTTTGTGATTTTTTAAATAAGATAGCTAACTTAACAGTATAAGTTTATTTACGGAAAAAAAGGTTAAAAGTTCATAAAATAGTTATGTTACGAGTAGTTAGTTATCAAATTTTTTAAAATATTTTTTAAAATCAAGTGCTCTTTTATTATTAGTTAACTATATTATAGTAGTTAACTTTAGATTATTTTTATTTTTGAGTTAACTCTTTTTTTCTTAAATATCTGGAGTAGATTTGAAGCAACTTTATACCAAAAATTGCTAATGCCTAATACTATATACGTATTGTTATCAATTTACATAAATTGCATATTCACATATTTAAATAAATTTCTTAAACTTCCTTATAAAAAAGTGCTTTGACTCTTTTTGCCATTAATTTGAGTTAAATGGTTGCCATGATCCTGTGCCAACACACATGAATGAACATTAAGTTTTTTAATGTATAATATGATATCAAATATGTTATATAAAATATTTGTTTACATCATATTGATAACTGCTAAACATACCAAAGATTTTTTGTACGTTTTGTAAAGTTCTTACAAGAAAAGTCTAACAAATACAGTTGACATATTTATCAAAGCTCTAACGTATTTATCTAGCTCGTTTTTTGTTACATGTATTATTTTTTTTTTTATATGTATATATTTTTCATATTTATTGTTTTATTAATGATTGTATATATATTATTTTTTGCATACTTTATAAATTTTATTAAAAGGTTTTTGTTTTTTTTAATAAATTTTACAGGCATTTACGGCATTAGGGCAGAAAATATATAAATCAAGGTTACCAAAGGTAAGATATATAAATCAAATTTACAAAAGGTATATAATATGCTTTTTAAAAAATATATAGTTGTTGTCGTATTTAAAATTGTTATAAATCTATTGAAATATTTTTTATGCTTTTAGTTAGCCCAGACATATTTTAAAGGGGAGCACTTCCTGTGGCAAAACTAGTTATGTGTTTAGTTGTTATAATTATGTACTCAACAAAAAACGTAGTATAAAATGATAAAAAATGTAAACTAATGAAAATAGATTTACTAAAAGTAATATTTCAAAAAACTCATGTGAATATATATCAAATATAAAACATATTAGTATATAAATTCATGTGTATATCATATCAAATATAAAACAAATCATATTATAACATATCAATATATAAAACTTACATGTGCTCTACATACAATAGTAAAACTCTTATGTATAACTATAGAATTTAACCTAAACAAAAAATGTGTAAAAAGCTGACCTGAGTACTCACACATGCAAAGGTATTTCATTTGCATAAATTCAATAGATGATGAGATCAAACAAAGATGTTTAATAATAAAATAAATATGCATAAGTATTACTGTGAGTGTATGTTGTCATATGATAAGTCGTTGCTCACTAGTCAAAAATGGTTTATTCCTAACAGATAGATTGATAATTTTTTTATATGTGGTGCAGAAATCTGTGTTGCTTGAATTACTCTGTAATGAATAAATTATTTTGTGATGAATAAAAGTTTACAAATAAATAAAAGTATAGAATGAAGCTCAATAAGAAATATGAAATAAAACTCATAGAAAATGTTTAATGAAGGATAAGTAATACAAACAAACAAAAAAAAGCAAATGTTCAGAATAAACAAAAATTAAATTTAAGTAAAAAAATGCATTCGCAATAAATGAAGAAAATCATTTTTATTCAGATAACCTTTTTTTAAATAACATTGTGAAGGAGAAAATATCATTTTCTTATGTATGTACGCTGTAAACTGTTTATGGAATTTAATAAAAAACTTTTTAACCCCAAATAAATTGAAATCATAGTATGTTAGGGAATATAGTATCATATATAAGTCAAAATACTATTGGCTCTTATGAGTTTCTTATTTAATTGAATCAGTTAATGTTACCATAGTGGTACATTCTAGTACTAGAAATACCCCAAGATACTATATATATATTTAAATGGGAAAAGTCTTTTACCGTTAATTCTAGTTTTCACATTATCAATCTTTCTTCATTATAAATCCAAGAATTTATAAGGACTTGAAGATTTATTAATATTCATAATATTCTTATATATTAATATTTATTTGTAAATAATTTATTATAATATAATTAAATATCACGATTATTATTTTTAATTAAAAATATATTTTTTGTTAAAACTAATTTCTGTTAGCCTCACACTTAATTACTATTTTTAAACTTTCTACAACATTGATAACATTTTGTATTAATTGCAGAATCTTCCAAATTCAATCACTCCACAAGAAAAGACTAATTCAACTTGTTGCTGACCCGTTTGTAGTTATAAATCTTTTCTTTTTTATGATTGTTTTTCACAAATATCAGATCATTTGACTTCATCATCAAATTGATGAAGTCAAATGATCTGATATCATTTTAAGTATATAGTTTTTTTACATAATTGAAGTATTTACTATTTTTTATGAATTGAGCTTTAATGAGAATTTCGTTTGAAAATTTTTTCACAACTTATATGAACTCTTTCAAATAGATTTATATTTTACATTGTTAATCATTTGATTGTTTTATTAATAGTTTTTTATATTTTATATATTTTTAAAAAATAAATTTACCTGGTTTTTAAACGAATTATCAAGGAGTGATATAGATAGATTTTTTTTTAAATAATAAAAAAAAAAAAAAACTTTTCTGAAACCTTTGAAATGTTTTTTTTTTTTTTTTTTTTTTTTTTTTGCTGTTGTTTGTTTTTTTTTTGTAATTAGCAGCGCTTATTTATTTATTCGGTTTTTTTAAATGAATTTTTTTTTATTTGTATATTATATCTCTGTTGAAAACATTTTGTAAAATATAATTTATTGTTTTTACTAGAATTTTAATTCACGAGATTCACGTAAATTATACTTAGGAGTTTTGATTTAGGAGATTTACGTAAAATATATACATATTTTTTTTTAACTTTTTATTCGTGTATTTCTATGTTTTAAATAAACAATTTTACATTATTTTGACCCCTGAATGTTTGTCGTCTTTTTGACTAAGAAGTTATTAACATTTTACTTTGGTTTTTTTTTTTTTTTTTCTGACATTTAATCGGTTGGCAAATTAGTTTTGCGAACTAGCAATGCGAAAATTTTATTTACAACATCGTTAATTTAATATTTTTAATATTTTTGTTCAAAGTTGTACACTTTATGAAGTAAAGAATCGAATTATTTTTTGTAAATGGTTCATTTAAAGTTCTGTTTCTCTTGTGATCTAGCTTTGTTGATTTTTGAAGAAATTTTTTAAAAAATCACTTATCCAAGTTTATATTTATTTTTATTTATCATTGTTTTGATAGTCATTAATTGCATTTAAGAATTGGTGGGTTAGCGTGTGAGAAATGATCCTTATTCTATTCTAAAAAATTATATTATTCTGTTCTAACAAAATTATATTATTCTATTCTAACGAAATTCTATTCGAAATAGGTTAAAGCTTTTTTTTTATTTCTTTTTTATACAAATTTATTATACCTCTGGGCAAGTTTTGCGACATCTGTTCGGAAGGCGTGAACGTCCAATTAAATGCTTATCCGCGGTGCTCTGTGATAAGACCGTAAGGACTTCTTGGGGCATCAAAAAAATTGTATTACGGTGATTTTTTAAATTCTCAATTTTACATCTGAACATATTTTGATGACAATTTTACATACTAGACATTTTGAAATTAGCTTAAGAATATCAAAATAATTTTTTGATAATCTGGTATTTAACATATTTAAGTGCGCTTTCCACATATAATGTATCCCAAGGCATGGACGTAGACAACTTATTTAAACTGAGGGAGGAAAAAGGAAAAATCTTGAGCTTTGAAAAAGAGGGTTTCAAGCAATCTGTCTCCTAACAAAACTTTTCAAAATTTTGTAGTAATACTTATCTCTAATGTTTAAAGCGGTTTAGCATGTTTTTAGGGGTTCCAAAAGTTTACTTTAAAGTGTCGAATTCCCTGTATTCGTAGCTATATTGCTCACATTATAACTCATTTCAAGTATAAAAAAAGGTTTAAACAACCGGAGCTTCAACGTTCATACGGGAGATCTGTGTATTTAAAGTCCCATGCTTGGGCACATTGTACATGGGATGCAAATTGCTTAAATATTGTAAACACGCATAAACAAAGTAACGTAGAACCGATACTTTAAAATTTATACAATCGGTATGAATTGTTAAGGTATATATATATATATATATATATATATATATATATATATATATATATATATATATATATATATATATATATATATATATATATAATTGTAAAATATACAATCGGTATAAAGTATTAGTTTTACAACCCGTAATTTACAATTATAAGCAGCACTTTTATTTTTATGATTAGTTATATCATGGAAGTATAAAACAGATGGAAGTTTAACAAGCCGCAAACATTAAAGCAATTTCAAGTCGTCTCGGGAGTATGCTTGTATCCAAAATGATTTTAATTAAAACAATACAATAAGAATTATTCTAAGAATACTTTAACTATTTGTAATTGTAATTATTCAACGAAAGGATTATTAAAACTCGGTAATTAAATAGAACCACTTTTTTGTTTTATTATTTTTTCGGTTGCTGGATTAAAAAGGTTTACTTCACATAAGGAATAAATCGATAAAGTTATCAACAGAATCTTCCGTTGATGACGATAAAGAAATCTCAATAAGTATTGTTCGAGAAATATTCAAAGAAATATTTTAAAAATAGCAAAACGACATTCTTAAACTTATCCGCGGAAACTTAAAATTTCTCTAACGACAGAATTAATGGCTTAAATGCAGAAATATTATCAATAAAAGAATCGTATAAAACTCTGTTCAATGAAAACGAATCAAGGAAAGTAGAACTTGAAAATGTCAACTAACGACTAAAAAAATATGAATGTGTACAAAGAGATATTGTAGAGTCTTAATTTTTCCCAAGATATTCAACAAAAAAAATTCATGACCTAGAAGAAAAAAATCTCAACAAAACAGAAATCGGTCAGACAGAAAAAAATAAAATTAGACAGAAGACAGGCAAAGAACAAATAATCAACGAATTGATGGACTTAAAGAGAACGAATCGGAAAGCTGGGAGGAAACCGAATTAAAAGTCATTAAAGTATTTGAAAACAATCTCAACATAAAAGGAGTTACTATTGAACGGGCACACAGAACAGGAAAGATAAATTCAAAAAATCCGAGAACTATAGTAATGAAGTTATTAAATGATAAAGATAAGATTCAAATATTAAAAAACGCACACAAACTCAAAGGAACAAATTTTTACATAAACGAGGATTATTCCTTCGATACAATGGTTATACAGAAAAAGTTACTTGAAGAGATGAAAGTCAACAGGAAGAACAGTATGTACTCGATTGTTATTTATAATAAGCTAATAGTAAAAGAATTTCGAAAAAATAAGCTAAAATTTAATTATTTCAATTTATTAAGTCTTTTGGTCTTTATACTTTTTCATTTATTACGGATAAAACTATAAATCTTTATCAAAATTCACGATTTAAATCTTTTCAAGTAAACAAAAATATACTTCTAGATTCAGATTCAGATACTAATTTTTATGATAGTAGCGATGAAATAAAAAACATAAGTCCATTATATTAATGGACTTATGTTTAACTTAAATACTTCAAATCCTGAAATAGATATAGATGCATTTTTAATCCTACAGTTAAATATTAGAAGCATTCAAAAAAATTTTGAAAAATCTAAACTCAGCATAAAAACGGAGTTTTAAGTTATTTGCCTCACAGAAACATGGTGTCACAATATTGAAATTGAAAACAATTCAAAATGATTGTGAGTCATTGACAATTGAAATATTTAGTAAAACTACCAAAAACATAATTGTGCCTGTTTTATACAGACCGCCCTCAGGTAATAGGAAAATATTTGAAAAACACATAAAAAATTTAATTACAAATAAAGATGTTTGTACTAAATGCGTTTACCTTGTGGGTGATTTGAATTTAAATGTATTAGAATATGAATCAAATAAAAACGTCAGAAACTTTCTTAATTTAGTATTTCAAAATGGGTTTATTCCAACCATAAATAAACCAACTAGAATCACCAAAAATAGTGCAACCTCGATTGATCAAATTATACCCAGCCGGCACAACTCAGAAAATAGTTACGCTTGGTTTCTGTTGCGTTTTTAAAACCTTCTAAAACAAAAAGAATAACACGTATCCTAAATGGTTTTTATTCCGTGAAATTAACTATTACTATTTACCATAAATATCAATTAAAGTATTAATGGTTTCACCGTTATAGAAACGTGGTATTATATTTTAATAACTTTCCGTAAGAAATGTGAAACCACTGATAAAAGTATGCGACTTTTAAATTTGACTTTAAAACCTCAAAAATCACGTGTTAAACTGTAATATACACGTGCTTTTGGTTTACGCCTGGATCGTGAAAAACACGTGCCTATATAGGTTTGATTTCCGAAAAAGAAACTAGATGTGTCGATAGGGTAACAAACAAATTTACAGACATAAAAGTTAAAATTGGAATATTTATATCGGATCATTTTCAAATTTTTATTGCAACTCAAAAATATAATCTTTCGAAAAACTCACAAAAAGTAAAAATAACTAAGTGAATCATTAATGACGTTTCTGTTGAACTTTTTAATCAATCTTTATCTTCTGAAAACTGGGAAAATATTTTACAAATAAAAAGCACTAACAAAGCTTATGTAAATTTTCTTCAAATATTTCAAAAACATTACAATAATGCATTTCCAGAGATAAAAAAAATTATTAAATCTAAAATGTATTTGAAGCCATGGATAACTACCGGAATATTAAAATCATCAAAAAAGAAACAACGTCTGTACGAAAAATTTCTTAAAAAAAGAACATTTGATAATGAATCCAAGTATAAAAAATGTAAAGGTATTTTTGAGCTAGTTATAAATCGTTCAAAAAAAATATATTATTCAAATTACTAAAATTCAAAGGCGACACTCAGAGAATCTGGAATGTCATTAAAGATTTAATTAGTAAAAAAAAATTATCAACTACTTGTCTTCCAAAAACAATAAACTTTAATGGCGTTGATATACCTTACTTAATGAATCAAAAATTAAAAAAACATTTAATCAAGTTTTTGTTAGTGTAGGATCAAATTTAGCCTAAAAACTAAAACCTGGTAAATTTAGCGTAGAGTCACATTTAACTGCTAACAATACAATAATGACCAACAATAAACTGACTAAAAATGATTTATTAATTGCTTTTCAAACTTTAAAACTAAACAAAGGATTAGGAGTTGATGAAATATGCAGTAATGTTGTAATAAAATCTATGCATTATTTAATAACACCACTGTTGCATATTTTTAATCTTTCTTAAAAACAAGGAATATTACGAGAAAGTTTTAAAACTGCAAGAGTTATACCGGTTTTCAAATCGGGTGATTCTTCTAATGTCTCTAATTATAGACCTATTTTCATTCTTCCTTGCTTCTCTAAAATTCTGGAACAAATAATGTATAATAGACTATTCTCTTTTCTAGAAACAAATAATATTTTATACAACAAACAATTTGGGT